GCCCCGTTGCTCGCCCCAGCACTGGGTCCCAGCCCTGCAAGGCTTCCTGCCCGTGCACTGCTTTCAGCCCAGGTGACTCTGGCCGCAGGCAGTTTTGCACCACTGTCACCCACCAAAGGCAGCAGTGGTGACGAGGAACTTGGGACTGTGAACCACAAATTGTTCCACCCCCGGCAGAGTGCGGCCCCTGCCCCACAGCGCGGTGTCTCTGTGCTGCAGGGGGGGGGTTGAGGGCTCTCTCATATTCTTACATCAATTGTCCTCGAGCACAGCCCAGAAACTTCTGCAGAGACCTTTGGTTCACCAGAGCCCTCACCCGCTCCTCCTGGCACAACTCACCAATACCAGGACAAAACACCACAAAAGAGGCAAACCTTGATGAAGTTGGCATTGATGTAATGAGAATCTGTGTCCGATGTAATCAGGGACAGCTCCACTCTGCTGTGGTCAACTGCAAAGGCAGGGGAAGTGGTCAGTGTCTGTCCTTCATGGTCACCGAGCCTTGGAGGGCAGCACAGGGGTTTTGGGGGAGCTCTCACGTCAGAGAGCTCGTCCAGGGCAGGGGGTGGCTGTGCTGATGTCCCTCCCACACCTCCCACAGCCCTGCTGCCTGCACACACAGGCTGGACAGGATCCTTCTGGACATTGAGGGAGGCTTTAGGGGAGAGCTGCAGGTGCTGCCACTGCCCCAGTGCAGCGCTGATCCCCTCTGAGCACGCAGCAAGCCAAACCCAAAACCACCTCAATGCACTCCAGGCTCTGTCCAGGTCTGTGGGGTTAGATACAAAGGTTTGAAAGCTGGACTCGATCTTGGAGGTCTTTTCCAACTTTAATGACTCTGTGATTTACTTTATTTTCCAAGTTGGAATGGATGAAAGAGACATCAGGCTGCTCTGATCCTGGGACAGCATCCTTTGGAGCCCCCTGCACCCAGCCAGGACAAACCATAGCAGGGTTTGCCTGTTTGCTTTGTACATCACTGAGACATCGCTGTCCAAAGGACATTGGACACAAGTGGTTGCAGTGCTAACCAGAAATTTTGCAAGGATAATCACTGGAGGATGTGTTTCCTAGTGAATAGAAGTTCCTCTGTCTGTAGAAATACCACAGAATCACAGAATATCCTGAGCTGGAAAAGGACCCACAAAGATCAAATCCAACTCCCATCCCTGCACGGGACATTCCCCAAAATCCCACCACGTGCCTGAGAGTGCTGATATGTGCCCAAATCCTCCAGAGCAGGCACTGCAGCAGCCAAAGCCCTAAATCTGAACAGCACGACTCAAAGCCAGCAGACAGCAGTGAGATGCTCACAGACAACAACTGTGCAGGCGGGCACCAGGGGATGAGAAGAAGAGAAGCAAGAAAAACAAAAGGCTGAGTGGGAGCATGTGCCATTTTCAACCTACAAGGTAAGATGTCCTTGTATCTGTTCTTCTTGACGTTTTCTGGCTGCTCAGACGCTGCTGTAGGATAGATTTTATCCGATTTGTACTTTGTTGACTGTCTCTTCAGCTTCTGTGATAAAAGAGTGGAACAAATTACAGCAGACGTGCTGCAGCCAGCACACACTACAGAGCACATGAAGTTCTCCAGGGGTCACATTTGCTACCACAAAGCAGGGTTGGCACCATTAATTCTTTCCTGAGTGGCTTTGCTCAGAGCAAGAATAGAGACAGAAGCACCTAAGAGCCCCAGCAGAGGCTTCTGAAGAATGGAAAGTGTGTGCTGAGGCCGTGCCCACACGTCGGCTTGTGAAGTGACACAAACCCTCACCAGTGAGCGAGGCCCAGGGGAACCACCCAGCACAAACGGCACCTGGATCAGAGAAGTGACAATGTCAAAGCTCCTTCAACAAATGATACCAGAAATGACAGGTAAATCTATCGATTTTTCTCACTTTGGTAGAGATGCTCCCATCTGTAGCTGGAAGCAGGGATGCTCAAGTCACTGAGGGAGCAGGAGCAACTGGAGCAGAGTGGCTCCATGGACTGATGAAAGAAAAGGGAGAAGGAGTCCTGGGACAGACCCTTAGGGCTGCAAATCTCTCATCTCTTTCATTTTCAGGATAAAGCTGCATCACTCACAGAGAGTTAAAGCATCTTTCTCCTGGCAAAGCATAGAATTTTATTTCACTGCCACCAGCTTGTGAATAACACATACTACTTTTTACCATCAGCTTCAGAAGCACCATTCTCTCTGTATGTTTTCTTTCATATTTTTGTGTCCAGGTTTTTGTTTTTTAATATTAGACTGCAGTTTTAAAACACTAAATTCAGCCACAATAGAAGTTAAATGTCAGAGATGTGGTGGAATGAGTCAGGAAGGAGGTACAGGAGGCTCAGGACAATCCATATGTCCAGTCTCTATTAATTAAGAATGTGGAGCAGACACAGTGGGATAGAAATTATGGGAGCAGGGTGGGTTTTGTAGCCTCCACATCCCTGTAACCTTCTGAGCAATTCTAGTGTTGATCACATCCTCCTCTTCTTCCTTCCACTGCACCCTCAGCTTCCAGGGAAAGCTCTCATGGAAGGGACATCACTCCATACTAAAGCCAGTCTTACCAGAGCCGAGGCCCTGAATCATCTGACTTTTCTGTCCCTGAATAATGTGACACAAAGCCACTTGAGAAATGCCTAGATATGAAAAAGGAAGTGGGAATCACAGAACCATGGAATATTCTGGGCTGGATGGGACTCATAAGAATAATTGAGTCCAACTCCTGGCCTTGCACGGATCTCCCAAAATCCCCCCTGTGCATGCCTGGAGCAGTGTCCAAACACTCCTGGGGCTCTGGCAGCCTCGGGGCTGTGCCCATTCCCTGGGCAGTGCCCAGACTGCACAGAGGGAAAAAGGGACTCCAACAAAACCCCCTAGCATTTATGGTAACATCACTGCAATTTGCACATAAAAATGCTTGGTCCCACAAGGAGAGGGCAGGAATTGGGGTGGAGGAATGGCACTGAATGTTTCTATCACATTTGGAAGCAGAAACCAGCACGATGGCCTGCTGAGGCCACTTCCTTGCAAAAGTTACTGCAAATCAGGTCACTCTGAGAAGATCTTATCCCATAGAACAGGAAATGCAGCCTGGACCATTTCCACCTGCCATTTTGGTAAGAGATGAATACATCAGGCTGCTGGAGCCAGCCTGAGCACCAGGGCTCAGAGCCCACTGCCTCACACACACAAACACCCCAGCACAGAGAGGGGAAACTCAGCAGGCTGTGACAGCACTTTGTTCCATGGAACAACAGACTGTCACTGCAGGCTCACATTAATCACTTCCCTCCACCCCAGACACCTGGAAACCAAGCACTCAGCTTCGTTTGAAGTGTTTGAAGTGCCAGATTTTGCTGGTATGACAGAGCAGGGCTGGAGCTTGTGGGGCTGGAGCTCAGTAACCCAGAGCCCACTGCCAGGTCAGTGCAGTGTTTGCCACGTCTCAGATCTCACCAGGCACCAGTTCAACCCTTCCCTATGCCTGTGAGAGCTGGGCAGTGTCACTGCCTCTCAGAGCAGCCCAGCCAGCCTGTCAGAGCCTCCTGCCTCCAGCTGACACACCAAGAGCCACCAGCTTTAGCCATGAGTTGGTGCATTGGCATCTGAGCCTCACCCCTGGCACCCAAACCAAAAGATTTATCAGAGAGCTCACAAATTCAGGGCAATGCACAACACAGGAGCTGCTGGGAGCCATCAGCATTTTGTGCAGCTTTTGCTTTGAGGGAACAAGAAAGTTTTCAGGAGGGGCCAGGAGCACTGCTGGGTGTAGAGCACACAGAACCCAGAATGGTTTGGGTTGGAAAGGACCTTAAAGCTCATTTCATTCCACCCCCTGCCATGGGCAGGGACACCTTCCACTGTCCCAGGTTGTTCCAAGCCCTGTCCAGCCTGGCCTTGGACACTTCCAGGGATGGGGCACCCACAGCTGCCTTGGGCACCCTGTGCTCTGTAGAAACAAGGACAAGCTAAGCCAAGGCAAAACCAGAGATCCCTGTGAGGAACTCGTGTGCCACAGGTCTGACAGATTGCAATGAGGAGAAGGGGCAGAGGCTCTGTATTCCTCCCTGTATCCTCAGTTGCGTCACCGGGGCCAGAGGCTCCATATTCCTCCCTGTGCCCCCAGTTCTGTTACCAGGCAAAGTGAAACCGTGTCCCGACAAGTGCAATCGCCAAGCAGAAAACAGGAAGCACTCGGGTAATTAGTTAAAAAGCAAACAGCTCAAATGCAAACTATTAAATTCCTATCATGTCTTTACATTCCTCTTAGCCCAGTTAACTTCTGGGTGTCTGCTGTAAAACTCCTAGAAAACCTCCCTGTCACAGGTTTGAGAGGTGAGGGAGCGATCCCTCCGAAAGGAGCTGAAACACCGAGCCAAGCCTTGAGCGAACTCACCAAAAACTCCTCTGCAAACTCTCCTGGGCTGAGCTTCTTGCCTTGGGCCCTTTGCAGGTTCTGCAGCAGGATGCTCCTCTGGTCCATGGTGCCGTTGTGTGCCTGGCCTGGCCCTCCTGGGAAGGGACATGTCAAGTGATCGGCAGCGGAAGGCAGCGCCGGGGAGCTGTCTGTGGTTTTCTGACTTCATCACAGCCCCAAAGGAAATTAGTGCTCAGCAGAGCAGCCTGGTCAGACAGCACAGCACAGCACAGCACAGCACAGCACAGCACAGCACAGCACAGCACAGCACAGCACGGGGCATGGCACCCCCTGCTCAAACCATCCCCACCTGGCACGGGGTGGGCAGCACTGAGGACAAGGGTGGGGATGGACAAGGATGGACACCAGTCCAAACCCACCCCAATTCCTTCAGCCACCACTGCCAGGGGTACCCAGGGCTGAGCACAGGGGGCAGCTGTGGAGGGTTCACATCTCAAAGGGCTGTGCTTCTCCAGGAAGGCTTCAAACCTGGAATGTGGCTGGAAGAGTCACACGGAAAATCCACAGCTCCCCTTCACACTCTTAACACAGAATCCCAGAATGGTTTGGGTTGGAAAGGACCTTAAAGCTCATCTCAATGGGCAGAGACACCTTCCACTATCCCAGGTTGCTCCAAGCCCCATCCAACCCAGCCTTGGACACTTTCCAGGGATGGAAATTTTAGTCTGCTTTCCACATCAGCTGTAAAATATTTTGAAGGAATCCTTCAGGCAGGTGCTGACACCCAATTGTAACTGCACAATTTCCAGAGAAAAGCCATCCATGTGCTTCAGGTCAACTCTTCCAGCCACCACTCCCCACATCTCATGGGTTTTTCCAGAAGAGAGGATCACATCTGACTCCAGCAGACTATGGAAGTCAAATTAATGATGCCAGCCCCATTCACCTCTCACTGTGCAACAATTGAAAAACCCCATGAGCAAAGGAAAGGCCATTCCCAGGTGGGAAGAGGAGGCAGAGAGCAGTTCTGTTCTGGAATGCCATCCATCTTCATACATGAGGTGAGGAAAACTAAACAAAACTAAGCTAAACCAAACAATTTTCAATCAAAACCACCCCCAGTAGATATGAGAATCACATCTTCCATACTTCCAATACCTCCTGTGTTGCACAAAGGCCTCAGACTCATTGAACCAAGTCTGATTCTCTCCCTGAATGTAACTGGGGCCATTCAAGGTGTCTCCTTCTGTGTTTTCTTGCAGATGGGGCACAGACCAGCTCCAGATTCCTGTATTCAGTAGCTAAAAGGCAAAGGGCTGCTAATCACTCTTTGTTTAAAATATCAAATACTAATTTTGCAGAAATAAACCTTGGAGTTGCCTGAGAGGAAGAGGGACCTTTAGAATAACTAATGGAAATATTTTAAAATAATTACTCACCTGCTGAGTCTGCAGCACCAAGCCCTAACCTGGAGGCCTTGAGTAAGAGTGAAGCCCACTTTTAGGGCTAAATTTAGGAGAAACTCAGGAAGAAAAACCAATTGATAACAACAAACTTCACTATTTTTGCTTGTAGTGATGGAGAATCTCTTTCACACATTGCTTAGTGTTGAGTTCTGCTTGCAGTGTCTGGAAGAAGCACAACAGCTTTTCTCCAGTTACATCAGTGAAAAGCCCAAGTTCTCCTCTGGAAAGTAGCACAGTCCTTTCTCTCAATAGTCCAAGTTCTCCTGAAAACAAACCAAACCCTCCTGTGCTGTGTTTTAGAGAAACAATACCAGGCAGGTTTAAAGGCAGCAAGAGAAGGATGCAGAGGGCAGGATGAGTGACCCAGCACCAACTGCAATCCTCTCCCAGGCTGATTTTATCCCTTCTCCTGGGAAAACACCAAGTGGGGTCTGTAAAACTGCTTTTTTATGGCCCATCAGTCATTATCTTGTTCCTCACACAAGGGCCAAGCTGAGTTCCTGAGTTCAGGAATTAAACCCTGAGACAGAGAAGCAGAAGTTTGGTGCTGACTCCAGTAGGACTTTGTTTAGCAAAGCCATGCTCCTGGGCTGCACACAGCTATGGGCATGGCCTAGTTCCAAATTAAGTCCTTTACGTAAAGATCAGCTGAAATAAATATTTATAAGTTATTGGAGTCTGCTGACCTGCTCATTCCTCAAGAATGGTCTGGATAAAGAAGCTCCAAGTCCCCTCCCAGACAGAGCCCAATCTTGGTGTGGCCACAGCAGAGTGAACAATGCACTGCCAACAAGTTCTCAGCCATTTTTCCCTGAAAACTGCACTATGGCAGTGCTCCAGTGCAGCTCTCCCTGGGGACAGGGACACAACACAGCTGTGGGAATGTTAACAGGAGCCCTGACTGATCTGCCTTTGAGATCACCTGCAGGTTCACCCTTCACAGTAATTTGGCATTTGAGACAGAGATTAATTATTGCCCAATTGCTCCTTAAAGCTTAGCTTAAAGAAGGTCAGAGGGGAAAACCCTGCTGGACACAGAGGCAGGAGTTGGGCTGCAGAGCTGCCCTGACCAGATCATCCACAGTCCTGAGGGCTGAAGGAACAAGAAACTCCAGAAATCAGCCAAGAATGATTCACGTTTTTATTAGGAAAAGCAGAAGTCTGTTTAACAGTGACAGGGTTTCAGTGAGGTGCATGGAAGGCACAGTGCCATTTGAAAGTACAATCAAGTCATTCAAAGAAATCAAAAATTACAAACAATCTGGCAGAATAGGGTTAAAAGATGCTCATGCTCCTCACAGAGTAGCCTAAAGCCCTGTTAGATCAATCTCACCCTCAATCAAGGAGCTTGGCAGCAGCACAGGGAGCTGGGGGGAACTTCAGAGAGAGTGTAATTCTCACCTCAGTACCACATTTCAACCAAAAACCTCTGTCTGTCTCTTGGAAGAGGAACATGCTGGTTCCAGTGAGCAGGATGTACCCTGCCCACCCTCCTCTCTGCTCACCCCCAAGTGAAGCTACCACTGAAATCAGCTGAAGACAGCAAATTAAAACAAATGTAAATGGAGCCAAGAATAAAATAGTCTCTCCTCACTGCACTGTTCCTCTTAACGTGAGATAAGTGACAGAGTCCTAGTGCCTCTGGTGGCTTGTTTTGTTTGTTTGGTTTTTTTTTTTTTAATTCTCTCTAATTCTCAGGAAAAAACCTCTCCAAAACACACCCGAGTTCTGGATCCATCAGTGACGTTTGTGCCTCATGACAACCACCACGGATGCCACCAGTCCTGTGACTCACACCAGTGACCCTGTCCTTTTCCCAGCCCAGGGGAGGGCAGACCCCTCACCCTGCCCTGTTCCCCAGCTGCAGCTCCCCCCACACCCCCTGGGCTTTCCAGGTAAACTGGAAACTGCAGTTTGAAACTACCAAACCAGCACTGGGTATGGCAAAAGAAGCCAGAGAAATCAACTTTTTTTTTTTTTTTGTGCCCTCAGCATGCATCCTGCTGGGAGCAGGGACCAGTCAAGACTGCAGTCCAGCCACTGCCTCTAGGACTGTCCTCAAGGCTGAGATGAAGGACTGCAGTGCCTCTGGCTTGGCTTTGCTTTGCTTCACTGAAACCTGCAGCTCTGAATCTGCTGCCTGGAGCAGGAGCTCTGTGAGGAAGAGGCAGCCTGAGTCATCCTGGGCACTCAGATAAGCTTTCCAGGGCTGGGCTCCAGCTTTGCTCATGGCAATGGTCTGGATGTGCACAACACGAAGGGCTGTCTGGATGGTGTCTGCATGGACAGGCCCACACCAGGGCAGAGAGAGCTGGCAGCTCGTGTCCAGGCTCAGCCAGGTCTTCTCAAACTGTTCTGCAGTCAGGGAAACATCAGGAATCAAGCTTAGGCTGCCTGCATCAGGATGAGCCTCGAGGAGCTCTTTATTCCCTTCAGGCATTGGAGTATCAGGATGAACCTCAAGGATTTCCTTATTCCCTTCAGAAACCAGTGACTCTGAAAGGAAAGCACAGACACAGGTGAGATGCAGCTCCCAGCTCCACAAAGCCCATTTGATGGAGCAGAGGAAAGCTGGAATCCCAGTGCCACCAGCAGCATTCCCTGGGCTAATGAGTGACCAGCCACACACTGCACAGGGTGATCAGAACACCAGATTCCCAAAGCACTCTGACCTTCCTCCAAACACACCCAAAGGAGAACATCTTGGCTGCCCAGAGCAGCTGTGGCTGCCCCTGGGTCCCTGGAAGTGTCCCAGGCCAGGTCGGACAGGGCTTGGAGTAGCCTGGGATAGTGGAATATCCCTGCCCATGGGAGGGAGTGGAACAAGAGGAATTTCAAGGCTCCTTCCAACCCAACCATTCAGGGATTCTGTGATCTGCTGGCAAGGCTCCCAGAGGAAGGTGAGGCAGGTTTACCTGTGTCTCTGTTCCTGGAGTCAGCACAAGGAGAGCAGGAGTAGGAGGGATCCACAGGCTGCTGAGCAGTGGCGAGTGCCCAGCGCTCTCTGCCATAAACTGTGGCCAGAGTGTTGAACTCCAAAGCCCAGGCATTGACAGGCTGCTTGCTCTGGTCCCCCAGGAGCCCCAGGGAGGGGTCAGACTTGGGGCTGCACAGGACCCTCCTCACTTCCTCCACGCCAGCCTGCAGCAGGCGATAGCAGAAGAGCGCACGGTCCCGCACAGCCATGTCCTGCTCCTCCTCTGCGAACCACAGAGATGCAACTCATGGAGAGTCCTGTCAGCCACACTGCCTCACAGCACTAACACTTTATCATTAAAAACAGACTTACAGGGATACACTGCAAGCCTGCTTACAGGCTGAGGAACAAGGAGGAGTGGTTTTAAACTAACAGAGGGCAGGGTTAGAGGGGATATTGGGAAGGAATTCTTCCCTGTGGGGGCAGTGAAGCCCTGGCACAGGTTGCCCAGAGAAGCTGTGGCTGCCCCTGGATCCCTGGCAGTGTCCAAGGCCAGGTTGGACAGGGAAGGTGTCCCTGCTCAGGGCAAGGGGTGGAACTGATGATCTTTAAGGTCCCTTCCCACCCAAGGCATTCTGATTGCATGGCTCTGTGACTCCACACTCACCAGCCAGGGGCCAGGCAGCAGCCTAAGGCATGGAACCACCTGACCCTGGATGGCCTCCTCAGCCTGGGGACAGCCAGAGCAGGTCCCCCAAGGCCTGTGGGGACACAGGG